GCGACTCTCCTGCCTCAGTCTCCCAAGTGGCTAGGATTACAGGCACGTACCACCATGCCCAGCTAATTTTAGTATTTTCAGTAGAGAGAGATTTTCGCCATGTTGGCCAGGCTGGTCTTGAATTCCTGACTTCAGGTGTTCCAGCCACCTCAGGCTTTCAAAGTGCTGGGATTACAGGCGTGAGTCACTCTGCCTGGCCTCCATCTTTAAATCATATTTCAAATCGAAACACTTTTCCTTTTTTTTTGAGACGGAGTTTCACTCTTGTTACCCAGGCTGGAGAGTGCAATGGCACGATCTCGGCTCACCGCAGCCTCCACCTCCTGGGTTCAAGGAATTCTCCTGCCTCAGCCTCCTGAGTAGCTGGGATTACAGGCACGCGCCACCATGCCTAGCTAATTTTTTTGTATTTTTAGTAGAGACGGGGTTTCACCATATTTACCAGGATGGTCTCGATCTCTTGACCTCGTGATCCACCCGCCTCGGCCTCCCAAAGTGCTGGGATTACAAGCGTGAGCCACTGCGCCCGGCCGAAACACTTTTCTTTATCTTCACTATGGTTGCCTGAGTGCAACACACCATCAGCACTTACCTGGTTTGGTGCAGTACCCTGTTAATGGTCTCCCTGCCTCTATGCTTGCATTGTAAGAGCTTTTCCCACACAACAGTCAGAAGGCTTTGGGTACATAAGGGTGAGATCTGGGCGGGGCATGGTGCCTCACACCTGTAATCCCAGCATTTTGAGAGGCTGAGGCAGGAAAAAAAGCTCTTGAGGCCAGGAGGCTAGGAGTTCAAGACCAGCCTGGGCAATATAGCCAGACTCCATCTCTTTAGAAAATTTAAAAATTGGCCGGGCGCGGTGGCTCAAGTCTGTAATCCCAGCACTTTGGGAGGCCGAGGCGGGTGGATCACAAGGTCAAGAAATCGAGACCATCCTGGTCAACATGGTGAAACCCCGTCTCTACTAAAAATACAAAAAATTAGCTAGGCATGGTGGTGCGTGCCTGTAATCCCAGCTACTCAGGAGGCTGAGGCAGGAGAATTGCCTGAACCCAGGAGGCGGAGGTTGCGGTGAGCCGAGATCGCGCCATTGCACTCCAGCCTGGGTAACAAGAGCGAAACTCCATCTCAAAAAAAAAAAAAAAAATTAGCTGGGTGTGGTGGCACCTGCCAGTAGTCTCAGCTACTGAAGCTGAGGTGGGAGGATTACTTGAGCCCAGGAGTTCGAGCCTGCAGTGAACTATGATTGCACCACAACACCCCACCCTGGGTGACAGAGTGAGACCTTATCTCTCTCTCTTTCTTTTTTTTTTTTTTTTTTTTAGATGGAGTCTTGCTCTTGTTGCCCAGGCTGGAGTGCAATGGCACTATCTCAGCTCACTGCAACCTCCACCTCACAGGTTCAAGCAATTCTCCTGCCTCAGCCTCCTGAGTAGCTAGAATTACAGGCAAGTGCCACCAGGCCTAGCTAATTTTGTATTTTTAGTAGAGACAAGGCTTCTCCATATCAGTCAGGCTGGTCTTGAACTCCTGACCTCAAGTGATCTGTCCGCCTTGGCCTCCCAAAGTGCTGGTATTATAGGTGTGAGCCACTGAGCCCGGCTGAGACTTTATCTCTTAAAAAAAAAAAAAATCCAAGCACGGTGGCTCACGCCTGTAATCCCAACACTTTGGGAGGCCAAGGCAGATCACTCGAGGTCAGAAGTTTGAGACCAGCCTGGCCAACACAGTGAGTGGTGAAACCCCATATCTACTAAAAATACAAAAATTAGCTGGGTTTGATGGTGCACACCTGTAATCCCAGCTACCCGGAAGATTAAGGCAGGAGAATTGTTTGAACCTGGGAGGCAGAGGCTGCAGTGAGTTGAGATTGTTCTACTGCACTCCAGCCTGGATGACAGAGTAAGACTCTGTCTCAAAGAAAAAAAAAAACCGCTAAATAAATAAGAAGACTTGGGGGCCAGGCTTGGTGGCTTATGTCTGTAATCCCAGCACTTTGAGAGGCCAAGGCGGGTGGATCACGACGTCAGGAGTTCCAGACCAGCGTGGCCAACATGGTGAAACCTGTCTCTACTAAAAACAAAAATTAGCCAGTTATGGTGGCACACGCCTGTGATTCCAGCTATTCAGGAGGCTGAGGCAGGGTAATAGCTTGAACCTGGGAGGTGGAGATTTCAGTGAACTGAAATCACACCACTATACTCCAGCATGGGACAGAGTGAGACTGTCTCAAAAAAAAAGAAAAGAAAAACAAAACAAAAAGACTGGGGCTTAGAGGCAGGTATAATTAATGCGTAACAATTGCTAACACTACGCACTTCCTCCTGGTGCCAGGCAGGTTAAACCCTTAACATCAGGCCAAGAGCAGTGGCTCATGCCTGTAATCCCAGAACTTTGGGAGAATTTGAGCCCAGGAGTCTGAGATCAACCTGGGGAACATGGTAAGACTCCCATTTACAAAAAATACAAATATTAGCCGTACATGCATTGGTGGATGCCTGTAGTTCCAGCTGCTGGAGAGGCTAAGGCAGGAGGATCACTTGAGCCTGGAGGTGGAGGTTGCAGTGAGCCAAGATTGCTCCACTGCACTTCAGCCTAGGTAACAGAGCAAGACCCTGTCTCTAAATAAATAAATAAACCCATATTATTCATTCAGCTCTTCCATGTGCATGTACGGTATGTCTGCTGTGTATCAGGCACTCTGGCTCACCCTGGGATAAGGTGGTAAACAAAAGACAAGGTTTGTGTCTTCTTTGAACTGACATTCTGGTTAGGGAGGCTGACAGTGAGTGAAAAGACACATAAGTTATGTAATGACAGATGGTGGCAAGTGCTAAGGAGAAAAAGATTGTCACCCAGAGAGCCAACTTTAGGTGAGCAGGGTAAGCTTCCTGGAGGAGGTGATCCCCAAGTTGGAAGTAGAAGGAAGCAAAGAGGTGAAAGAAAAATGGAAGGCATATCAAGCATCAGTGCTGGGATCTGAGTGGCTGGAGTACGTGAGTGCGTGGGAGAGTGAAGGGGGATACAGGTAGGAGGTGACAGAGCAGATGGTGCTGGGCCTGTGGGCTGCAAGGAGGACTTGGGATTTGACGTGGGTAAAGTGGGAACCATGAAAGGTTCTTGAGCAGAGGAGGGGCATGGCCTCACTCTGATGTTTGCAAGTGTCTCCCTGCCCCTATTGGGGGAATGGGAATAGGAGCTGGGGACCAAGGAGGCAGGGTGGTACTACCTCAGCTCAGTGATGATGGGGTCTGGGAACTGATAATGTGGACAGAAACAAGTGGGGTTTGGGAGCTTTTTTTTTTTTTTTTTGAGACAGAGTTTTGCTCTGTCACCCAAGCTGGAAGGTATTGGCAGTCTCAGCTCATTGCAACCTCCACCTCCTCGGTTCGAGTGATTCTTGTGCCTCCTGGCCAAGTCAGGAGCTATTTTTTGGTGGGAAGGGAGCTGGGGCTAAAGAAAATGCCAGACTCAAAGGATCCAGGGGAACAAAGGCATTGATGAAGGGGTCAGTGCCAGTATAGGGTAGAACTTGGGGGCTCTGGAGCCAAGACCTGGGTTCAAATGCCTTCATGGAAACAAAATGCAGGCCGGGTGCAGTGGCTCATGCCTGTAATCCCAGCACTTTGGGAGGCCGACGCAGGTGGATCACATGAGGTCAGGATTTTGAGACAAGCTTGGCTAACAAGGTGAAACCCCATCTCTACGAAAAATACAAAAATTAGCTGGATGTGGTGACTCACACCTGTAATCCCAGCTACTCAGGAGGCTGAGGCACAAGATTCGCTTGAAGCTGGGAGATTGCAGTAAGCTGAGATCATGCCACTGCACTCCAGCCTGGGCCACAGGGGGAGACTCCATCTCACGAAAAAAAAGAAGAAAAAAGACTTCTTAGCCCCTTTCCTGTTGGGCAATCTGTAGATAGCACTTTGGGAGGCTGAGGCAGGCAGATAACTGGAGACCAGGAATTTTAGACCAGCATGGGCAATATGGTAAAACCCCATCTCTACAAAAAAAATACAAAAATTAGGTGTGGTGGTGTGCACCTGTAGTCCCAGCTACTTGGGAGGCTGAGCTGGGAGGATCACCTGAGCCTGGGAAGGTTGAGGCTGCAGTGAGCCATGACTGCACCACTGCACTCCAGCCTGGGCCACGGAGTGAGACCCTGTCTCCATGGCTCAAAAAAAAAAAAAAAAAAAGGCTGGGGGTGGTGGCTCACACCTTTAACCCCAGCACTTTGGGGGCCCAGGTGAGTGGATAAACTGAGGTTAGGAGTTCGAGACCAGCCTGGCCAATATGGCGAAACCCCGTCTCTACAGTAAAAATACAAAAATCAGCCAAATGTGGTGGTGTGCGCCTGTAATCCCAGCTACTCGGGAGGCTGAGGCAGGACAATCGCTTGAACCCAGGAGGTGGAGGTTGAAGTGCGCCGAGATTGCACCACCGCACTCCAGCTTGGGTGACAGGCCAAGACTGTTCCCCCCCCAAAAAAAAAAAAAAATCGGCTATTGAAGAAAAATTTCCCTAGAGGGGAGGGTGGAGACGGTTAAAATCTTGGGGCAGATCGTCTGGAGGCGACTGAGACAGGCAGTTGGCACCAGGGGGCAGTAGCGAGCCTGTGGGTAGCAGGGTCCATCCTGAGGGCCATCCCTTCACAGATCCAAAGTATCTGGCGAGCACAGTGACTGCAGGACCTCAGGTGCCTGGGCCCTGGGAGAGAGCAGGCCTAGGGGCGGGGTGTCCAGGATGGGTGATGGGGGAGGTGGGCAGGCTGCTTGTGCCTTCTGAAGTCCAGGGATTAGGGCCTAATCAGGGGAAATCTGAGCTGCCTGAAGGCTGGAATTCAGGCAGAGCCGCCGGCAGCCAGTGGGTTTCCTGCCCCCTCCTCCTTCCTTTTGAGAGAATTGCCCCAGCTCAGAGAATTCGAGAGCCTGGGAAGCTGGGGTCCCCCCCACCAGCCACCCACTGGCTCACTGCCCCCCACAAACACTCCAGGCCTGGACCTGTACAATAGGCACTTTATTAGTGGTTGGAATGCAGTTACACGCAGGGTTGTGCAGACGCAGTGGGGGCAGGGCTGGCGCAGGTACAGGAAATGGGAGACCGCCCCCCTTCCTCCTGGGGCCGGGGTTCTCCCTCTCCAGGATCCTGGGACAGTGCTGATGAGCAGAGATGTTAAGTCTGAGGGGGCTTTGGAATATGGCAAAGGGGCCACTGGGAAGCCAGGTCCCCCAAGTTCAACAAGTTTGGCAAAAGTATCATCAAGTGAGGTGCGTGGGCAGAGGGGCCCGGTTTGCCCCGGGCATCTGCCCTCCACCTTTCCCCCTGAAATCATCCCTTGGGTGGTTGTTTCTTTCCTCTCTTACAAAGAGAGCTGTGTCAATAACTGGCAGAGGAAGTCGGGAAATTCAGCCTAACTCCATCCAGCCCAGCAGGTTTCCATTAAACAGCTATTAGTGATCTCCTCTCCAGCCCGCTCCCCACTGCCAACCACCTCCTCCCCACTGCCAACCACCTCCGTAAAAATGTCCCTCCCTCTCCCTCCTTCCCAGCCAGGAGACACCCCCACCTGGGCACACACACTCCCACCCCAGCCACTCCCAGCTAGGAGGGAGCAAAAGAAAGGCACTCCTTGGCGGCCCCATCTCAGCTGTTGAGACAGATGGAAAAAAAAAAGCTAATAGACCCTTTAATGCACGTCCAGGTTAAAAAATAATAAAGAAATGCTTCTGGTGGCTCTTACGCCAACTGTTCAGGTGTGGAGAAGGGGGTCAGTCCTGGCTGGAGCAGGCAGGAATAAACGTGGGTGTTCACTGTGGCCAGCAGCTCCCTCAGACACAAACACTATCCTTGTGGTCTGGCCCGTTGTCATGTCAGTGGGAACCGGAAGTACGAGGGAGCTTGCGGTGGTCGGACAACATCCCGGACATCAAGAGGCCCCACTGGATTTGAACTCATTTCTCGCAGTCTTGAGGGGCAGCTGTGAAAACTCCAAGCGCCCCTTGGCATAAGAAGGAGATACCCCAGACTCTCCATGTCCAGAAACTGGTGGGATCTGGCTCATGGGGATGGGCAGAGCGGCAGTGATAGGACTTTGGGTGAGCCCAAGGGGTCGGGGGAACACACCCTGCTACTGAGCACCCTGCGGCATGAGGCTCCACGAGAAGTGGGGAGCACGGGGCCTTCAGGACTCCGCTACCTTCTTGTTGGTCTTGTTCAAGAGTTTCTTGAGGGTGGAAGACATGAAGTAAGGCCTCTCGGCCGAGCCATCATTCCTCTCCAGGTCCTCCACTGTGGAGAGAGGTCCCAGAGCAGGAGGCATGAGGGGAGCTCACAGGCAGGGGCCACCGGGGACAGGGAGGGTGGACGAGGGTCACAGAGAAGCCTCAGAGGGTTAGAAAGCAGACACACTGGGACCAGAGAAGGGCGGACTGTGATGGGCTCCGAGGGACACACAGGATCCCCACAATCCCAGGCCAGGAAGCCTCCCGCTTCATGCACCCCCAATCTACACGGAAGAAACCTGGCCCCCACGCCAGCCTCCCTCCCTGTCTACTCCTCATCTTCTGCCCGCTTCCCCTCCTCCGCACTCCCCTTCAACAGGATGTCTCTCAGCTCGGGCGACATGAAGTAGGGTCGCTCCTGAGAGCCGTCATTCCTTTCCAGGTCCTCACCTGGGCTCCCCCCAGGAACCGGCAGGGGGAAAATGGGGTGGTCAGGAAGGGAGGGAAAGAGAGAGGCAGGGAAGAACAGGGAAGCCAGCAGGCATGGAGGTGAGGAAGAGAGAAGAAAAAACAAAACAAAACAAAAACAGATGGAGAGACCAGAGTTAGTGGCAGCCACAGATCCACCCCCCCATCAAAGCCAGAAACTGCAAAGCGAGGGCTTGAGGCCAGCGTCTGGGCTGCAGCCTGGGTCAGTGGACAGGAGGTCAAAGCTGCTTCTAAGTGCAAAAGGAAACCAAGAAGACGGGCTGGGGACCCAGGACGAGGGCCAGCCAAGCCCCGGGGAAGCTGGGGGCAGGCAATCATGTTGCCCCGTTGGAGGGGGATGTGATGCCCAGTGGAAAGGAGGGTTTCGGGGCCCCGCAAGATTTGGGGTGAGGGGTCACTCACAGAAGCAGAGGAACAGCGTGTCCACACACATGCCATAGACGCTGAAGAAACCGTGTGCAATCAGGTAGGAGCCGATGATCACCGTCTGGGTGAGGAGAAACAAGCTGTCCTTGTTCTGTGCCCTTCCCAGAGCAACCCCCACCCACTATGTGCCTCCTATGCTGGGATCACGTCCTTCCTCTGCTGAGAAACTCTCTTTGGAATAACGACATCTTAACTCCTCGCCCCTGCCGGCCGGGCCCCACCATCCACACAGCCCTCTTCTCTCCCTCTCTCTTTTTCTTTCTCTTCTTCTTTTTTTTTTTTTTTTGAGACGGAGTTTCACTCATGTTACCCAGGCTGGAGTGCAATGGCACGATCTCGGCTCACTGTAACCTCCACCTCCTGGGTTCAAGCAATTCTCCTGCCTTAGCCTCCCAAGTAGCTGGGATTACAGGCATGCACCACCACACCTGGCTAATTTTTCTATTTTTAGTAGAGACAGGGTTTTACCATGTTGGCCAGGCTGGTCTTGAACTCCTGATATCAGGTGATCTGCCCACCTCGGCCTCCCAAAGTGCTGGGATGATAGGCATGAGCCACCAAACTCAGTCTGATTTTTTTTTTTTTTTTTGTATTTTTAGTAGAGACGGTGTTTCACCATGTTGACCAGGCTGGTCTCAAACTCCTAACTAAGGTGATCCACCTGCCTCAGCCTCCCACAGTGCTGGGATTACAGGTGTGGGCCACTCTCCCCTGCCCTTTTTTTTTTTTTTTTTTTTTTGAGACAGGGTCTCACTCTGTAGCCCAGGCTGGAGTGTACTGGTGCGATCTTAGCTCACTGCAACCTCTGCCTCCTAGTCTCAAGTGATCTTCCTTCCTCAGCCTCTGGAATAGCTTGGACTAGAGATGTGTACCACCATGCCCAGCTAACCTCTGTAATTCCCCCTTCCCCCACCCCAGAGATGGAGTCTTGCTCTGTTGCCCAGGCTAGAGTATACTGGCTCGATCTTGGCTCACTATAACCTCTACCTCCTGGGTTCAAGCAATTCTCCTGCCTCAGCCTCATGAGTAGCTGGGATTAAGGCACACACCACCATGCCGGCCAGGTTGGTCTCAAACTCCTGACCTCATGATCCACCCACCTCAGCCTCCCAAAGTGCTGGGATTACAGGTGCGAGCCACTGTGCCCAGCCAACCACTGTATTTTTTGTAGAGATGGGTTTTTGCCACATTGCCCATTACCCAGTCTGGTCTCAAACTCCTGGGCTTAAGGGATTCACCTAACTTGGCCTCCCAAAGTGCTGGGACTACAGGTATTAGCCACCGCACCCAGCCTCACTCTTGCTTTCTTTAACCCCTGGACCTTTGCATGTGCTATTGCCCTAAATTTAATTTATGCCTCATCAGCCTTCTGCTTTCAGCTCAAAGAGCAAGTCCTCAAGTTCCACCACTTCCAGGAAGCCACCCGTGACATACAGAGCCCGCTTTTTTTTTTTTTTTTTGGGGAGACAGGGACACACTGTGTTGCTCAGGCTGGAGTGCAGTGGCACCACCTCAGCTCACTGCAGCCTTGACCTCGCAGGCTTAAGTGATCCTTTCACCACATCCTCACCAGTAGCTGGGACTACAGGCACGTGCCACCATAGCCAGCTAATTTTTGTATTTTTTTGTAGAGATGGGGCTTTGCCATGTTGACAGGATGGTTTCAAACTCCTGAGCTCAAGCAATCTGCCTGCCTCCCAAAGTGCTCAGATTTTACGTGTGCCCCCCTGCATCTGGCCTAGAGCCTATTTTATGTCCTCCTAGCACTGGGCACCCCTCCTGAGCTCTTGGTTCAGCTGCAATTTTATGCCTATTTGGGTGCTTTCCAGGTTTAAAGCCCGTATCCTTCTTCTTTTTTCTTTTTGTTGAGACAGTTTTGCTCTTGTTGCCCAGGCTGGAGTGCAACAGCGCGATCTCGGCTCACTGTAACCTCCGCCTCCTGGGTTCAAGTGAGTCACCTGCCTTAGCCTCCCTAGTAGCTGGGATTACAGGCACCCACCACCACACCTGGATAATTTTTGTATTTTTAGTAGAAATGGGGTTTCACCATGTTGGCCAGGCTAGTCTCAAACTCCTGACCTCAAGTGATCTGCCCGCCTCAGCCTCCCAAAGTGTTGGGATTACAGGCGTGAGCCACTGCGCTCAGCCTAATGCATACATCCTCACTACACCCAGTCCCATTTACTGCTACACCCCTAGCAATCTGGAGACTCCCAGGGCCTCGGTAGCTGCTTGATAAACATTTGTCAATGTAAGTCAGTGGAGCTGGCCAGGCGTAATGGCTCATGCCTGTAGTCCTTGCACTTTGGGAGGCTGAGGCAGGAGGATCCTTTGAGCCCAGGAGTTCAAGACCAGCCTGGGCAATATAGGGAGACCCTGCCTCTATTATTATTATTATTATTATTATTATTTATTTATTTATTTATTTATTTTTTTGAGATGGAGTTTTGCTCTCGTTACCCAGGCTGGAGTGCAATGGCACGACCTTGGCTCACCGCAACCTCCGCCTCCTGGGTTCAGGCAATTCTCTTGCCTCAGCCTCCTGAGTCGCTGGGATTACAGGCACGTGCCACCATGCCCAGCTGATTTTTTGTATTTTTAGTAGAGACGGGGTTTCACCATGTTGACCAGGATGGTCTCGAT